GTCTATTTACCATTAGTAAATCAACCCCAATGTGCAGCATACTAGTCCTTAGATGTGGTGACTGCTAGGGTGATAACAATCACTTCTCCACTGTATTTATGGTGTGAGCCATGGTTGCCACTCAGACTGGACCAAAACCATGTGTACATTTGCTCATCTCCATTTCTCAGGGGATAGGGGGATTAGCAATATACAATTTGTCTGTGCTTTCTTTTCATCTCTCATTAAGGCAGGCCATAGATGATGTGATTTTCTTTCCTACAATCACAGGTTGCAGCAAAGAAAATGGCTCAATTCCCCCATCAACACTGACAGCGTTGACGGAGGAATCCCTCCTGTGGGGCTATTGTGTTGTACCAGAAGTGGGACACAGGGAGGTGTACCTTCCGGGAGAACACAGGGATTTTTGCTAGCAGCTCTAGTGGCTGGCAATAATTGCGTGCTAAAAATCAGACATGCTGGTTGTACCCAAGCGGATCCATGGATCCAGTTGGGTACAATCAGCCTACCCATATACTGTATGGACTGAATCTCAACCGGTCCCTGCTGAACCAGTTGAGATTCAATCCATCTATGGCCGGCTTTAGTGAAAAGAACCCAGCATTACTGGAAAGATCAACTGGCATTTTCTGTATTTGCAAAAAAGATTTTAGCCTGAAAAAAGAAATCTAATTCAGTCACCACATTATTTTTTTGTTTTTAGGTTTAGATATCCTTTTAAAGATTAGATAAGATATCCTGTTTGGTTTGGGCGATTATACGAATACACAGAAGCCTGTGACAGTGTTCCGAGGAATTTGCAGCATATGACCCATGATGTGTGCCAGTATTTCATGGTGTCCAAGGTCATGAAGGCTATGGATGAGTTACCCACTGCGACCTGGGAAAGGACCGAAGTCTTCAGATGCCTCACGGAAAACACCTCACACTGCAAAGATAGATCTCAGCCACCACTATGGAAGCAGCCAGCATAACTTTCTCTTACATGGAGGTCTGGCGCACAGAGTCTTTCGCTTGGTGTTACTGTCAGACAGGCTTCTCTGGTTTCATTCTTCCAGGCTGATGAACAGAAGAGCTGGGGATTCTGGGATTACTGGAATGTGTCACAAGGAGCCTCTATTAACACCATGTCCAGCAAACACTGAATTAAATAATAACTTACCATGCACTTCATTCATACCACTATTCATAGCTCTGTTTATATCATGGCTGAGGGTTCAAACCTGCTAGAGATCAATAGAGGTCATCTAAGTGCTGTTTGCATTGAAATGAATTGCTATAACCTCTGTGAATTTTTTAAAAAAAAAATACGCTCTTTAAGTCTTAAAAAATAATTTAAGGGATCCTTATGTCTATAACCATCATATGTTTGTCAATAGGAAATTAGGACATGCTCATGTGTCTATGGGCATGCTGCCATCTCAGCATGTCATAGCTAAAATAAGAGCACTGCTCTCAGGATCTGGTATGCTTTTTCCTCCAGTGATGATGCAATTATTGAGGGTTCTTGGGTGGGTATATACAGATGAAGCATAGCTTTTATTTCTGTGGAGGCAAAAACCCTTGGAGAGAGAAAATAAACATTTAAAAAAGAAGAAGCTTTCATCCCTGTCTCCAAAAACTCCAATAACACCACAAAAAAGAAAGAGCTTCAGGTACATAAAAAGAGAAAGAGCTTTGATTACAAAAGAGAGAGCGCTTCAGATGCAGCCTAGTTTTAAATGACTGCTAAGTAGGACTCTTGCACATGAGCACCAAATAAGCAAGATTTTCAGGCATTCGGGCATATTTTTTTACTGATCTGAATGCAGCCCATTGCTTTCAATGGGCCTGTACACACAGGTGTGTAAATATTAGTACAAAAAGATGGAAACCAGCCCAACCTATAACTGGCCTTTGCAGCAAGAAGCACATGGAAGGGCGGTTCATGTAAAAAAAACAACAAAACAAAAATTCCCAGCTCGCCTACCAGTTAGCCTGCAACAAACCGAATTATCGTTGTCTAACAGTTCACGTTAAAAGAAGGGGTTTTGTTTGCACACATTTGCAAATATATGCGTAAGCTGCAGAGGCCATGTCATGGCACCCCAGTGTACTGTAATCCTAACTCTATAAATTTTGGAAGCCTCCAATGTTGGAACACATGTATAACACATGGATAGATTAAGGGCAGGTAAACCTGGAGGAAGCCAACCCCTCCTTAAAGATATAGGGAAGCATCAGACACCCAGCAACAGCACAATGACAGCGAAGGTATCTAGTGTATCCCCGCACCAATTTACCAACAGTACAAACGAATGGGAAAAAAACAAGGAGTTTAGTTTGTACACATTTGCAAATTTTTTTGCATAAGCTGCAGAGGCTACGTCATGGCACCCCAGTGTACTGCACTCCTAACTCTAAATTTTGAAAGTCTCCAACATTGGAGCACATGTATAATAATGGATAGATTAAGGGCAGGTATGCCTGGAGGATGCTCACCCCTCCTTAAAGGTATAGGAAAGCACCAGACACCCAGCATATAGCACAAAGGTATCCAGTGCATCTCCTCACCAATTTATTAACAGCACAAACAAATGACAACCACCCCAATCTATAACTGGCCTTTGCAGCAAGGAGCACACAGAAGGACGACGCATGTCAAAAAACAACAAACACATATTGCCAGCTCACCTACCAACCAGCCTACAACAAACCAAATTATCAATGTCTAACAGTTCATGTAAAAAGAATGAGTTTAGTTTGCTCACATTTGCAAAGATATGCATTAGCTGCAAGGCCATGTCATGGCACCCCATTGTACTGCACTCCTGACTCTCTAAACTTCGAGATTCTCCAACATTGGAGCACATGTATAATAATGGATAGATTGTGGGCAGGTATGCCTGGAAGATGCTCACCCCTCCTTAAAGGTCTAGAGACGCACTTGTCACCAAGCATTATGCAGGGCTAATTCGGTTTGTTGTAGGCTGGCTAGGAAGTGAGCTGGAAATTTTTGTTTGTTGTTTTTTGACATGTAAATATTAGTAATCAAACACTACACTTAGATCAGTAAAAAAAAAAGAAATACACAAATCTGCTTTACTGGTGAGTATTTTATGCATGTAAATTACACGTAAACTGATATGGTGCAAGCAACACATTATTCTGGATATCTGGTAGGAGATCAGCTCAGCAAAGGAGTTTGCAAACTTGCACATATTATACAGTATATAAAGAAGACCTAGGCTAAATGTAAGAATTGCTGCATCTAAAAATGTTAACAGTGTCTAAGGAGTACCCTGAATTCCTGTTGAAAATTGGCAGTGCACTTCCTGTGCCTAGGCACCCCTGCTATTTAGTCTAAAAGCTGTATATCTGCAGTGTTAGATCCAGGGGCGGACTGACAACTCATGGGGCCCCCGGGCAATAGGGGATCATCAGGCCCCTGTGTCCTTGCCCAAACTAAAAAAAGCCTATGAAAAAGGTACCAGGGGCATCTCATGGGGCCCCCTACTGACCCTGGGCCCTCAGGCAGTGCCTGAGTTTCCAAATGGTCAGTCCGCCCCTGGTTAGATCATCTAAGGAACTGCTGTCATTATTGTGCTGCTCACTGTTCTTTTTGCTGGGGAGGAAGGTTTGAGTGAACCTCTCTTGCCGATACTGCTTGATTATTCCTCCATCAGTCATAAGATCACCATTCATCACAGGGGCAGCTCTGACATCAGTTAACATAGCCCTGCTCCTCTGCCAAGGTGGCTGCCTGCACACAGAGACACAGTGCAGAACGAGGCATAGCATGTCATTATTTGGAAATGGATCCATCAACAGTAATGTCCTTAGGTGCTAAAGGACAGTTGAATCCTTCATACCCAACTGACCTAGGGTTACCCACTGGCCCTGTCAAAATAACATGCATTCAGAAGGGGTGGCACATGTGACTGCTGCTGGCTGTAAAGCATATCTAAACCCCAAAACAAAAATGTGATATGATGCAGCTTACCTGTCCTTAGATTTGATGGCTGCGTTATTTTTTTCCAGGCTATTTTTTCCTTTAATTTGTACCTGTTTATTCCTGCTAGTATCATACTCCCTGTCCTATTGTGACAATGCCCACTCACTGTATTATCAATTTTTATTATTATACAGGATTTATATAGTGCCAACATTTATTAATATGGCTGATCTGTACACATGGCGGGCCCCAGCGATCCAGAAAAGAACAGCTCCAGCAACAGGAATGAATAGTCTGAGCAATGTCCATGCTCAGTAGATGCTGGATGTAGCAGGGACATTTTTTCTGCATAGACTGTGGAGCAACGGGCAGGGCTGCACAGTAAATAATTTGGGTACATGGCCGGATCTAGGGGGGTGCTGGGGTGGGCTATGCCCCCCCAGATTTTAGTTTTGCCCCCCCAAAGCCATTATGCTGCCCTAATCTGATACTTTACGGCCCTAGTTTGACACTGTACTGTACTTTCCTTGACTGACACTATACTGATCGCAGTTATGGGTTGTCCTCTGCTCTGCCAGCAGTGACTCCTGTCCTCTACCCTCTACCCTGATCGCAGGTATGGGTTGGCCTCCACCCTGCTAGCAGTGACCCCTGTCCTCTGACTTCAGATCCTCTGCCCCCCTGACATTTTTTACTGCACCCCCAAATCAGGGGAGTTCTGCTGCCTGTGCCCAGGTTGTGTACAGTGCAGGGATGGGAGAAGGAGCTGTGCCCCTGCCAGCAGTGACCCCTGTCCTCTGCCCTGCCTGCAGTGACCCTTTTTCTCTGCCCTGTCAGCCGTGACCCTGTCCTCTGCCCTGCCAGCAGTGACCCCTGTCCTCTGCCCCTCCTGCAGTGACCCTTTTTCTCTGCCCTGTCAGCCGTGACCCCTGTCCTCTGCCCTGCCAGCAGTGACCCCTGTCCTCTGCCCTGCCTGCAGTGACCCTTTTCCTTTACCCTGCCAGCAGTGACCCCTGTCTTCTGCCCTGCCAGCAGTGACCCTGTCCTCTGCCCTGCCAGCAGTGACCCCTGTCCTCTGCCCTGCCAGTAGTGACCCTTGTCCTCTGCCTTGCCAGCAGTGACCCTTGTCCTCTGCCCTGCCAGCAGTGACCCTTGTCCTCTGTCCTGCCAGCAGTGACCCCTGTCCTCTGCCCTGCCTGCAGTGACCCCTGTCCTCTGCCCTGCCAGCAGTGACCCCTGTTCTCTGCCCTGTCAGCAGTGACCCCTGTCCTCTGCCCTGCCAGCAGTAACCCTTGTCCTCTGCCCTGCCAGCAGTGACCCCTGTCCTCTGCCCTGCCAGCAGTGACTCTTGTCCTCTGCTCTGCCAGCAGTGACCCCTGTCCTCTGCCCTGCCAGCAGTGGCCCCTGTCCTCTGCCCTGCCAGCAGTGACCCCTGTCCTCTGCCCTGCCAGCAGTGACTCTTGTCCTCTGCTCTGCCAGCAGTGACCCCTGTCCTCTACCCTGCCAGGAGTGACCCCTGTCCTCTGCCCTGCCAGCAGTGACCCTTGTCCTCTGCTCTGCCAGCAGTGACTCCTGTCCTCTACCCTGCCAGCAGTGACCCCTGTCCTCTGACCTCCTGACTTCCGATCCTCTGCCCCCCTGACATTTTTTACTGCACCCCCAAATCAGACAGGCTAGATCCGGCGCTGTTTGGGAACGTTGGTAAGTGTTAGAATTTAGGCAATTGTCTGTCACTTGGGGGGTGGGGGAACATTTAAAAAAGAAACAACTTCACTAGTTGTCTTTAAGCATGACTAGTCCATTAATGCTAAACAATTACATCATCGGAACGGCAGTGTCACTTACCTTCTCCTGCCACCGTTCTATATACTTTTTATATTTGCCTTCTGGTGATATGATTACACCTAAAATGCCACCTTGGAGCAATAATAGTTTTCATTTTGTTGCATTTTCATTCTATGGCCTGCATCCATTTGAAATATTCCAGCTGTCACCAGGGTTTCACCCAGGTGTATCTGCCTTTGAAGGTATTTTTAATGTATTTATACAGAGAACTAATCTTCCTTGTGTATACTTCGTATTACCACCTTGAAGTTTGCCAGTAAATGTTTAAATTGGCTTTTCCATATTTAAAATGTTGCTTCTTGGATGTGAAGATTTTGTGACTTCATCAGTAACAGGACAGGCTTGTTATTTTATATTCCAGAGCTTAGAAAACCCTCTTTCACTAGTGCGCCACTGTTCGGCTTTGGAAGTCCATCGTAGTAGTTAGCACTAGTAAATATAAAATACCTTTCCCAGGTATAGCTAGTAGTACTTGGTCTCATTTACCTGAACTTGTTCTGTATTATTGAAGATGTTTCTTGAACTTTTAATTCTAATGAGTGTCAGGAACATTTATACCGACGGGAGTAGAACAGACACCATAAATGAGCTGTTCACAACAAGGGTTCCATAGAACCTTAGGGTTCCTCCAGAGGTTCTTAGGGGTTCTTTGATCAATAAGAAATTAGGTTAGTTAGCACTAGAGACCAATCTTTTTAGCTATCTGTAGGGGGGCATTCTTCCTACTGTCACTAATTAATGGGCATTCTACTCACTGACCACCACACTTATGTACTATGAAATGTGAATATACACTGCCTCTTTATTAGGTGCACCTTACTAGGGGGGTTGGGCCCCCTTTTGCCTTCAGAACTGCCTTAACCTCTTTCCCGCTGCCCTATAGCAGATATACTGGTACAGGGGTGCGCAAAATCACGTACAGTTGTGTTCAAAATAATAGCAGTCAGACATCACTAACCTGATCAATCACTGTTTTTGGTAGAAATGATATTTCTACATGGCAAATAATTTACTAGCAGGTGTAGTAGAGTAATAGAAATCCAACAGACCCAACAGTCATGACATGCATGCTGCTGATTCTGTGTAATTGAATCACTAATTGAAAGGGGCATGTTCAAAATAATAGCAGTGTGGAGTTCTATTAGTGAGGTCATTCATTCTTTGAAAAACAGGTGGCAATTATTGCCCTTATTTAAGGAAGGAAGGCAGCAAATGGTTTACATGCTGGTTACAGTGCATTTCTCTCTGAAATTCTGAGGAAAATGGGTCGTTGCAGATATTGTTCAGAAGGACAGCGTACCTTGATTGAAAAGTTGATTGGAGAGGGGAAATCATATAAAGATGTGCAGAAAATGATAGGCTGCTCAGCTAAAATGATCGCAAATGCTTTAAAATGGCAACCAAAACCTGAAAGACGTGGAAGAAAGCGAAAAACTACCATTGGAATGGATAGAAGAATAGCCAAAATGGCGCGGACTCAGCCAACAATCAGCTCCAGGAAGATGAAAGAAGGTGTAAAGTTCCCTGTGAGGACTGTTACAATTAGAAGACACCTATGTGAAGCCAAGCTATCTGCAAGAAGCCCCCGCAAAGTCCCACTGTTGAAAAAAAGACACGTGCTGAAGAGGTTACAATTTGCCAAAGAGCACATTGACTGGCCTAAAGAGAAATGGCGCAACATTTTGAGGACTGATGAAAGTAAGATTGTTCTTTTTGGGTGTAGTGGGCGGAGACAGTTTGTCAGACGACCCCCAAACACTGAATTCAAGCCACAGGACACTGTGAAGACAGTGAAGCATGGTGGTGCAAGCATCATGATATGGGGATGTTTCTCATACTACGGTGTTGGGCCTATTTATCGCATACCAGGGATCATGGATCAGTTTGAATACATCAGAATACTTGAAGAGGTCATGCTGCCTTATGCTGAAGAGGAAATGCCCTTGAAATGGGTGTTCCAACAAGACAACGACCCCAAACACGCCAGTAAACTTGCAATATCTTGGTTCCAGACCAACAAGATTGACGTTATGGAGTGGCCAGCCCAATCCCCGGATCTTAATCCAATAGAAAACTTGTGGGGTGACATCAAAAATGCAGTTTCTGAGGCAAAACCAAGAAATAGAGAAGAACTGTGGAATGTAGTCCAATCATCCTGGGCTGGAATACCTGATCACAGGTGCCAGAAGTTGGGTGACTCCATGCAACACAGATGTACAGCAGTTCTCAGAAACAGTGCTTATACAACCAAATATTCATTAAGTGATTCAAAGGAAAGCAAAATCTTCAAACATTTTTCAGTTTATATAGTGAATGTTTGAGTTTGTAAAGAAGAATACAAACACTGCTATTTTTTTGAATATAATATCTAATATCTACTTTTCTTCAATTTTTTTTAGAGGAACAACACAAATTTGATATAATTTCTTCATGTTTTGATTTGGAATAGAATGTGTAGTGTTCCCAATGCATTTGTGTGAATGGAAATAAAAGCTATTAGAAGGATTTTGAGCTTTATTCACTTTTTTCAACACACTGCTATTATTTTGAACACAACTGTATACATATATGTGATGTTGCATTTCGCGGCTGCGGCTGTCAATCACCAGGTCCCGGGCCAGTGCCCTCCAGCACCCGGTGATTACAGAGCATCTGGGACAGGGAGGAGGACTGTTTTGTTTACTAACAGTCCTCCTCCCTGTCAGCTCGGGCACACGGCTCTGGATGGCTGTGCACAGCATAAGGTTTGCTGAGAGGGGCCCTCGGAGAAGAGGAGCAGCGTACAGCATCAGAAGGGGACGGAAAAAGAGGAGGCAAGCCAATATCCTTGCAAAGAGCAGGTAAGTATAACATCCTTTTTATTTTAATAAAAAATTTTGACTTTATTATCACTTTAAGTAATCCAGTTGGTTGGTGCCATAACTGCTGCCACAGGTTTCCTGTTTCAGGGTGGGTTTTTTTTCTTGCAGCATCCTATGGAATAAACTTTGCATGAAGGGGTTAGAGTCATGTCACCCTCCACTGTGTTCATCAATAGAAACACACAGCCCCATAGCCTAGGATGACAAAGCACTCCTCTGTTCCTTCATTCCCTCCCCAAGCTGGCTGTGGAATGCACTGTCCACTGTTAACTCTTTACTGTAAAGACTGGAATGAGGGTAGTTATTTATTTTGCTAGCAGTTCATACAGGCAGAGCTATGTTCTTTCTTTTATATGTATGAGACTTAGTGAATAAACTTTTTGCACCCTTGGTAGCTCATGCTATTTATTTATGCCTAGCACTATAATAGGAAAGGGTTTTTTTTTACCTGGTTCAGATCACTTATGAAATGCTTTGTAGGAGTGGCCAAAAATGAGAAAAAAAAAATATAAATCTGGTCTTCACAAAAAAATGTAACCAGTTTTATCAAGTACCCTTGAAGCATTTGATTTCTCATGCAGCTGTATTATATGGACAAAAATACCTGCCTTTCAGCAGTGGGTGGTGGGTTTTGTTCCCAGCAGGGCACCATCCACGTCCACTGTACATCACTGCTGGTCAAATCCGCCATATAGCTTCTCAAACCTCAGTGCTTATATGTCAGTCATTCACTTTACTTGTTCGATTTAGCTTTTCTTTTTTTCTGTGGCACAGCCTTTCCCAACCAAGGTTCCTCCGGAGGTTGCTGTAACAATGAGTAACCACTAACACAAGTGATCTTTTAGCTATCTGTAAGGGGGGGCCCAATGACCGCAAATGTAAGGAGCATCTTACCTAATGTAAGAAGCATTCATTTCGATGATCACAAATGTAAGGAGCATTCTTCTCACTGACCATCATCACTAACGTACAGTAAACTGTAGATAGAGTAATACTTAGTAGAGGTTCCCTGAGCCCAGAAAGCCATTTCAAGGGTTCCTCCAAATTAAAAAGGTTGAGAAATGCTTGGGAATTATACCAATACCAATACGTTTATATAGTAGAAGGGTGCAGACCTGAAGAATACACTGCTCCAAGGGTTAGTATTTTATCTATCTATCTATCTATCTATCTATCTATCTATCTGTCATTATTATTTTACAGGATTTATTTAGTGTCAACATTTTATGCAGCGCTTTATAACATAAGGGCAGACATTACAATTACAATACAATTTAATACAGGAGGAATCAAAGGGCCCTGCTCGTTAGAGCTTACAATCTAAGAGGGAGGGTCAAGAGATACAAAAGGTCATAACTGTGGGGGATGGGCTGATGGAGAAAGTGGAAATACAGTTGTTAGCTGGGGGCAGTATAGGCCTCTCTGAAGAGAAAGGTCTCAGGGATTGTCTAAAAGTGAACGAAGAGACGGAGATAGTCATGATAGCTTGGGGTAGGGAGTTCCAGAGGATGGGAGAGGCTCTGGAGGAGTCCTGGAGGCAAGCATGGTGGGAGGTGACAAGGGAGCCAGAGCAGGAGTTCTTGGGAGGAATGAAGATAACGATTAGGTTGGTATTTTGGCACTAGGTTAGTGATGTAACTGGTGGCAGAGTTGTGGATGGCATGGTAAGTTGTTGTTTATATTTTGAATCTAATTCATTGGGAGAGTGGAAGCTAATGGAGGTGACATGCAATCTGATATGTCTGTTAGTAAATAAATGATGTGTGTGGAAACTGATGGAGTGAGCTGAGGGGTAGAAAGATATAATTGGGTGTCATCAGAAGAAATGTTATTGGAAGCCATGGGAGGCTATTAGCTGACCCAGGAAGACTGTGTAGATCGAGAATAGGAGAGGTCCAAGAACAGGACCTTGGGGCGACCCCGACAGAGAAAGGGAGCT